TTGTCTCTAATTTGAAACATCATGGACAGTGAATATTTAATAGTTGAAGCTACTTCAATAAAATTCGATAATTATCGTTCGAAAAAAAGTAATAATAATTGCAAATAACTAGTAGTGGCAAAGTGATCGAGATTACGTATTAAATATTAGTTAAGTATTTCTAATAAAATAATTACTCGAAGTAATTTTATTCGAGATTTTTAACTTTATTACAGTTACAACTTTCCAACGTTGGGTTAATGGCCAACTCTCCCGATTACATTGGGATATATCGGAAAATTGCGATATACGTAAGGGCGTATTCCTCCCCGGATGAGCGTGGGCTGTTGTGAACTTAGAACTTGGGAAGGTTACGAAGATCGTGACGTCAGTGGGATGGAGCAATCCGGATTCTATATTTACGCGGGCTGGAAATGAAAGCGAGGAAACGCATAGTTGAAATTTGTGCGTGTAATTTAATTCTTTAACGATCCGATAAATCTTCTGGAAAAATGTGTCGTAACGAAAGAAGCGTCAAAGTTAATACTCAAGTATATTTACTTTGGGGGTTACGTTTTTTATCGTGGCCTTATTATTTCTCAAACTATTGAAAATCTATCGTCGAATATAATTTTGAAAGTAATTTACGATCTTAAATCCGCTTCGTAACCAGCTGGAGAGGTTATGTCTCTCTTTCAATGTCAGGAGAAAATCTTCGAATATCGTCTTTTTTATGCGAAAAATTATGGCAGTATCGTTACAATAACCTTAAATTGCGGTTATTTTCTTTTTTCGATTTTCGATTTTTCTCTGTGAATAAATATGACCATGACGAATCGAATTAGAGAGGTCTTGCATAGAGCTCTTTCTGATGGGTCTGACGTCATATCCAAATTTAGCGCAGCTGGAAAACTCTCGAATACCAATTTTCGAGTGGAAAATTGCGACAATTCAGTGGTCTTGGATTGCAATCGATCGCTATTTCCTGTTTTTTTTTCTTGTTGTTGATTTTGAGAGAAAAGAAGTAAGAATTTCTAATTTTATTAAAACACAGTTACAGATGGTTTCGATCGCCATTTTCTTTTTCTTGAGGAAAATAAGTGAAAGTTTCGAGTTTTTGACAGGTTCGTTCGACAACGATAATTTATCTAATCTATAAAATTTTTGTTATATAATATAAAAATAATTGTTTTGACGCTCTCAATTTCAAGTTGATCTTTCTCTTGATAAAAGAGATAAAAAATGCAATTCTGATTCGTTCGAAAAAAACTTAGACGAGATATATAAATTAATATTATCCGGATCACGATGCTTGGATCATTTTCATTTATCCTTTTATTCACAATGTTCCAGTATGGTTAATTCATAATCAGTGAAATCGCAATTCATTTTAACGCAAATTCGCGCAATTATCAACATGCATTTCCAGCCGCATAATTGCATTCTTTGGAGGATGAAATTTCTGGAATGACTCTTTCTGTCTTCGTGAATATGCAAATTTGACTGCGTACTACCCTCCATCCAAGAATACTCGGGGAAAAAACGCTGGCCACATTGTATTCCATTTGCAATATTCCTGAATGGGAATCGCAGCGTTTTAATTACTAGATCGAGAAAATTCTATGTTATTCAAGCATCTCTTTTAATTGATAAGGAATGATAAGAAAAGATTCGTAGAAAAAAAAAAAAAGGATTCGTAGAGAAAGAAAAATAAATTAGAGAAAATTGTATAGATGAAATGTATATCTGTGTTCGTGTTCTATTGTAAATTTTTTTTTTTTTTAAATTTGTCGCGAAGATATTTCTTGCCAACTCGATCGAGTGTGTGGCAGGGGATATAATATAACGTTAAGAAAGTCGAGAAAGAAGAAACTTTACTTGGCTATTGCTATTCGAAAGTTTGCAGAAGTTTCAGTTCTTATTGCATTCTTCATTTTTTCAAAAAAAAAAAATATTAAAGAGGTAGAGGAGATTTTTTTCCCCTTAAATTAATTTTTTTTTTTTTTAAATTTGTCGCGAAGATATTTCTTGCCAACTCGATCGAGTGTGTTCCCGGGGATATAATATAACGTTAAGACAGTCGAGAAAGAAGACACTTTACTTGGCTATTGCTATTCGAAAGTTTGCAGAAGTTTCAGTTCTTATTGCATTCTTCATTTTTTCAAAAAAAAAAAAAAAAAAAATGTACGTACAGGGAATAAATATCCTCTTCACCTATTGAATATCCTTTCGTTATCAATTTTACGCGAGATATGTTTCACAATTTAACGATTATAACGTTATTATATAGCGTCTAGTTGGTTTTTTATTTTCGATTTTAATTAAACGGGGAATAATAAACTTTAAAAAGGGGACGATAATTAAAAAAAAGAGGGAGAGAGAGAAAGAGAGTTAATTATAAATTCTGTTGTCTGAAAGTTGAATACGTTATTTAATCGTTTCTCGCTGCAAGTATGAAGAATTGAATCTATTTATCTGGATAATTCGATGCTTAATTCGAATATAAGAATAATAGAGAGGAAATTATTTCACGTTTTTATGAAATTTATCGGATTATATTGATCGTTTCAAATGCTCGTCGTTAATTTTATTTGAAGAAGATGTATTTATTCCAGACAAATCAGAAATATATATTCGTTTAATCTCTGGTCCTAAGAAAGTGCGCCTCTTTCATCCAATTATCGATCCGAATTATCCAACAATTTTCCGTCCTTCAACCACCAAAATTCTCGTATCAAACAAACGCGAAATTAAGTATCCAACGAGAGAAAAAAATCGGGGCAGATGTCGAGTTTCGCGCGATAATTTTGCGGTAAAATCCGGATCGAGGCCAAGAAAGCCACGTTTCGTTTGTCGAGGAAGATTCATTTGTATTGCAGGAAAATAAAAGAGGGAACGAAATAGTTGGAACGATGATCCTCCTTACTTCCTCGAAAATTCTAATTTCTCTTCATCCTTCCAACTTCTCTGTCTTCCTTCCGCAATTATTCTCAGTTTAATTGTATAAATTTCTTGACAATTCCATAATATGACTTATCGAAAAAAATTCCAAATTTTTAACATCAATGTATCACAAATTATTAGTTCAATATTGCTTTAAAAATCAGAATACTACAATTCCAAATTTGTAAATTTTTAACATCAATATATCACAAATTAATAGTTACTTTAAAAATTAGAATATTACAATTCCAAATTTGTAAATTTTTCACATCAACATATCACAAATTAATAGTTCAACGTTACTTTAAAAATTAGAATACTATAATTCCAAATTTGTAAATTTTTAACATCAATATATCACAAATTAATAGTTCAATGTTATTTTAAAAATCAGAATACTACAATTTCAAATTTGTAAATTTTTAACATCAATATATCACAAATTAATAGTTCAATGTTATTTTAAAAATCAGAATACTACAATTTCAAATTTGTAAATTTTTAACATCAATATATCACAAATTAATAGTTCAATATTGCTTTAAAAATTAGAATACTACAATTCCAAATTTGTAAATTTTTAACATCAATATATCACAAATTAATAGTTCAATGTTATTTTAAAAACCAGAATACTACAATTTCAAATTTGTAAATTTTTAACATCAATATATCACAAATTAATAGTTCAATATTGCTTTAAAAATTAGAATACTACAATTCCAAATTTGTAAATTTTTAACATCAATATATCACAAATTAATAGTTCAATGTTATTTTAAAAACCAGAATACTACAATTTCAAATTTGTAAATTTTTAACATCAATATATCACAAATTAATAGTTATTTTAAAAATTAGAATATTATAATTCCAAATTTGTAAATTTTTAACATACAATATATCACAAATAACTTGTTACTTTAAAGATCGCTCAACAAACTTGTCTGCTGAAAATTAGCCTCCTCTTTTTACGGTTGAAAGTTGGTCACCCTGATGGAGGATCTTGAAAGGGAGAGGAGGGGGGAGGGAGGGTGGAAATGGACGAGAAACGGGCGCGTCGGTTTCCAGGAAGGTGTGTAAAAAAGAAAAGTGCAGGAACAGGCAGGGCAGAAATAGCGGTGGTTAATTTTGCACCGGTCCAAGCTATAAACGTACATCATACAGCCTCCGCGTCTGTTCAACGTCTGTCCTCCTTCTTTCTTTCTTTCTTTCTTTCGCTCCGCTCGCTCTCCACCACCACCCCTCCCCCTCCTCTTCGCCCTTATCCTACCAATCTAAACGTCTGTTCGTGTTTTACGAGACTTGAAACTTATTCCTCTCAAGCTCCTTCTCTCTTAGTCGCTTCTCTTCATCGGTGCTGTCTTAATTATGAAATTGGGATCAGAGGGAGGGGGAGGATTTGGTAAACAATGTTAGGAAGAAAAGTTAGGGCTAGTTTATTAGTTTTTATTAGTTTTATTCGAGTCGAAGTCGATCGTTGGAGGAACACTTTTCTTTTTTCTTTATCTTCTATTAGGGATGATTCTACAGTTCACAATTACTACGTTCTTTTTAAAGCTATTTCTTTGTTACGAAAGAAGAAAAATTAAATCAATTGGACAAACATTTGTAAAATCCCTTAAAGGTAATAATTTTGAAATTTTTTTGAAATATATAAAATTAACGCGAATAACAAAGGAAAAAAAAAATATCGTCTCCGTTATGTTTCATTCCATTCTTTTGATAGATATTGCTCCAATTTTTGAAGGAACAAATTAATAATCCCAATGTGCTCGACCTGTCGATACAATCACCGGAAGTTGCGGCCATGAAATAGATATTTAGAGACGTAAGATTCTTGGTTTATTTGCAGTGGTTCCTCTTCTTTCTCTCCCCCTTATTTCTTTCCTCGTCCTTGCCGCAGAAGGGGTCGAAGGAAAAACAAATGAGGCAGCAAATCAAAAGGGGTTCCTTCCTTCCAACCCTCTTCCTCGCCAATACCTCATTTCCCTTTGGATCCCTCTTTTAACCGCGCTCTTTGAACTGCTTTGTCGCTCATCTTTCTTTTTTTTTTTTTTTCCCCCTCTTTGTTTCAGACGTACCCAGCGAGCAATCCGTTTTCGTCATGCTGAACGGCGAAGAGAGCGAGCTCAGATTCCTCAACATCTCGAATCCGAAGGTGAGCTGCTTCCTTCTCTCTGTTTTTTTTATATTTTAAATCGCACAGTCGATTCGAATAATGTAAATGGAATGAAAATTTTCATTTTCAAATGTATGAAAAAAATAATTGCTTCAATGTAACGTATATACATTAAAATTTTA